TTTCAGTTAACTAAAATGCTATCTCCTTATCAGTCCAAAGAGATTCACAGGAGCAATTTAGGGTATTAACTTCATTGCAATACAGGAGAAACTGTTAGCATGGATACCACCGTGTGGTAACTACAGGCAAGGACTTTAGGGGGAAAAAAAAATAAATTTGAGTAACAGGAATGGGAATTGACATATCTGCTGAGTATATGTCAATTTTGTTTGTAAGCACAAAATGATTGCAAGGTAGTATACAGTATGGACATGGTTTGTGTTTTTGCAAAACTGCCTATAAATATTTGAAGGAAAGAGTCCTTATGTTAAAGCATACTGCTCATCCATATGTGTATGGGAGGTTAGGAGATTGCTTGTCTGACAGCTATCTCGTTTGTCAAGTGGATTGAACACGTTGTTATTCTTTGAACCAGAGATTCTCTAGGGTAAAGCATACTATTAAGATAAAACTTATCTGTTAAAACTTCTCATTGTTTCTTCCTCTTTGCAGGATTATAAGGGTTTTGGGAATATTCCATCTCTGGAGGCTGCATTTGTGAGGAATGAGCATCTTTCCCTTGTGACTTTTAGCATCAGGAGGGAAGAGTCAGACTCTTTAGGGCCTCTTTTGTGCCTCTTGCAGGCGGTGGGCAACTGTGCCAAGAGCTACGACTGCTTGCTGCTCCTCGGTTTGGGTGTTGTCGAATTGCATTCCTTCCTGCCTGCATTTTTTTCCTTGTCTTTTCAAGTCATCAGGTTTTCATATTTACTTGTTAGATGGGCTTAATCTAGGATCTGAGTAACTTCTCAAATTCAGTGTTGGCTAAGTCTTTTTTCTTTTTGTTTCCTGCTTTGATATTTTATATTGGCCTTTTAGAGCCCCATTTAGAAAGGTTTTAAGTCATTTAGTGTTACCTGGAATACTAGTTACAATAGAACTCTTCTTCAATGCACTTAACGTATTTGCTCAGACAGTAGAGGGATCTTAACATAAATTAGAGGAATGGCTAAATGTTCTGCTATCCTTGGCAGTAACAAATTTCTTTTTAATAGCTATCTTCTGTCAAACAGCTGTTGTAATAGGTGATTTAGAAATTTCAGTGTATGATAGGACTCTTTTTCTCCAGCAGCTTATTAAATTGGATTCTGCTGGATTTATTTTCCCTTTCATATTACTAGGAGAGGATTGATAAAGATTAATTCTTGCTTTAATATTTGAGATTATAAATATCTAACTGCATGGTTAATTAGATTCCTTTAAAATTAAGGAGAGCTCAAATGTTAGAATAACAAAAGGAAATTGAATGTTTGTAATACAGCTGGTTCCTGTCTTGAGGGATTAAAAAGTAGTGGTAAGTCAGTCCAACTATGTGCTGCACTTGTTATCCCTTTTCAATATTGTGTAACTAGTGCAGTTAGGCTGTTTGCAGACTGTTATGATGATGGATTTTTTTTCAGATGACTCACCCACCGCCTCCTACTCTTCCTGTCCCTTGAGGCATCTAATTCTTTCTTTTCTTAAGATATGAGCATATTTGTT